CTCTCTCTCTCTCTCTCTCTCCTCTCTCTCTCTCTCTCTCTCCTCTCCTCTCCTCTCTCTCTCTCTCTCTCTCTCTCTCTCTCTTCATCCCTCCCTCCTTCATGTTATGGTTGGTCAAAGATATTGTACTGCCGCCAGTATTGCTTCAGCCGTCATCTGGAAACACACACACACACACACACACACACACACACACACACACACACACACACACACACACACACACACACACACACACACACACCTAACACCGCTTACACCACCTTGAGGGGTGGGGTAGGAGAGAGAAAGAGAGAAAGAGAGAAAGAGAGAGAGAGAGAGAGAGAGAGAGAGAGAGAGAGAGAGAGAGAGAGAGAGAGAGAGAGAGAGAGAGAGAGAGAGAGAGAGAGAGAGAGAGAGGGGGGGGGGCAGGCACACGCTGAATGCTAAACAGACTCAAGAAAATAAATAGAAGAGATGAGCAGACACTGCTCACTCATGAAAAACACACACACACACACACACACACACACACACACACACACACACACACACACACACACACACACACACACACACACACACACACACACACAGGGAGCGAAGCACTTGTTAAGACGGACACAAGAACTGGGGGGAAGAGTGGGCCTAATAAACAAACTAAGAGCGATAGACAGACTTAGGAAACAAAATGCCAGTTAAACCCGAAGGAAAGAGCGTTAGACTACCTACCAGTCAGTTATCTACCAGTTATCTACCAGTCAGGTAGATATAGTTGCTGATACATAGACAGTCAGGTAGAGACGAAGTGTTAGAGAAGAAGAAGAAGCAAGCAAAACGATAAGAGGGTCAGTAGAGAGAGATGCAGGTAAAGAGGGGAAAAAACAATTAAAAAAAGGGAAAGAGGAGAGAGAGAGAGGGGGAGGTTGGGGGTGTCTTGATGGAGAAAAGGTAAAGGAAATAGGGACGAGAGTCAGTAATTGACGCGTGGGAATGGGGATAATAGTAGTAATAATGGAGAAGGAATGGGGAGGGGAAGGAAGCAGGAAGGGGTGGATTGGGGTATGGGGGTTTGTGACACCCTAAATTACAGGTAGGAAGTGAGGGTGATCTATCATTCACGTGGAGCACTGGTTCACCTGACTGTAGTTGGTTGTATTGGTCTCCCGAGAGAGAGAGAGAGAGAGAGAGAGAGAGAGAGAGAGAGAGAGAGAGAGAGAGAGAGAGAGAGAGAGAGAGAGAGAGAGAGAGAGAGAGAGAGAGAGACAGAGAGAGAGACAGAGAGAGAGAGACAGAGAGACAGAGAGACAGAGAGAGAGAGAGAGAGACAGAGAGAGAGAGAGACAGAGAGAGAGAGAGAGAGACAGAGAGAGAGAGAGAGAGAGAGAGAGAGAGAGAGAGAGAGAGAGAGAGAGAGAGAGAGAGAGAGAGAGAGAGAGAGAGAGAGAGAGTGTCAGAGCCAGCCGAGATGAAAGCAAATTAGGCCAAGCTAGCAGATAAATTCTCCCCCCTGCATATTACCGCGTAAATCACAGGATATTGAGTTCCAGATGAGGATATACACACACCCTGATTCACCTTTTTAATGCGAGAGTTTGCGGGAGGCGTTGATGCTGCCGGCGGAGGCTGATGAGAACCGCGGAGCTTGTACTTTTCTCAGGAGATGAGGAAGATGCTGGAGTTTGCAGGAGTGATGATAGAGATGAGGAAAGATGAGGAATACCCAACACATTTTAATTATAATCTGCTAATGTACTTGTTTATGTATTAACGTGTTGTTAGCCGGCCGGCCGAGCGGACAGCACGCTGGACACGTGATCCCGTGGTCCCGGGTTCGATCCCGGGCGCCGGTGAGAAATGATGGACAGAGTTTCTTTCACCCGGTGCCCCTGTTAGCTAGCAGTAAATAGGTACCTGGGTGTTAGTCAGCTGTCACGGGCTGCTTCCTGGGGGGTGGAGGCCTGGTCGAGGACCGGGCCGCGGGGACAATAAAGCCTCGAAATCAACTCAAGATAACCTCAAGATAGCCTCAAGATAACCTCAAGATAGCCTCAAGATAACCTCAAGGTAGCCATAAGAGTCACAAGATATCCTAAAATACCAAAAACAGTCGCCTTTATTAATAAACAAAGTGGTTGTGAAGAGCGGTTTTGAAGGCCTTGCATACCTTGAGGCTACCTTGAGGTGCTTCCGGGGCTTAGTGTCCCCGCGGCCCGGTCGTCGACCAGGCCTCCTGCATATATTTATTTGCGTTACACTTTGCACATTATTTATCCTGGACTTCCTTATTCCGTGATACTTGTGTTCACTTTTGTATTCTGAACACAATCTTCCTTAAACTTTCTCTACCTGGTGTAACTTTCTCCAGGCGAGAGTCGACTTATTTTCATGAGATGCGAAGTAAAGTTTGTAAGTGAAAAAGTATGCGAGAATACTTTACGCTGGAAGGAAAAGTACTGAAAGTACGCTAAACTACGTCATAAAGTACAACTAAAAGTATACGAGAAAATGCATGAAATAAAGAATGCACAAAAGTATGACGAAGAAAAAAAAAGCATACTCCCACAGACCCAGGTACTGTGGGGTCATATGACCCCCACAGACCCAGCTACTGTGGGGGTCATATGACCCCCACAGACCCAGGTACTGTGGGGTCACATGACCCCCACAGACCCCAGCTACTGTGGGGTCACATGACCCCCACAGACCCCAGCTACTGTGGGGTCATATGACCCCCACAGACCCAGGTACTGTGGGGTCACATGACCCCCACAGACCCCAGCTACTGTGGGGTCATATGACCCCCACAGACCCAGGTACTGTGGGGTCATATGACCCCCACAGACCCCAGCTACTGTGGGGTCATATGACCCCCACAGACCCAGGTACTGTGGGGTCACATGACCCCCACAGACCCCAGCTACTGTGGGGTCAGGCAAAGGATCACCTCCAAACACCATTGTGGAATTTTTTTCATTTAATTTTTAATACTTTTAAAATGCTTTTTAATTGACTTATGCATATAAAATGCCCCGTGTCGTGCAGTTCAATTTGGCCTAATGTGTAGTGAGCAGTGGTGTCAACCACAAACACCAGTACACCAGTGCTTTACCTGTGGAGGGTTTCACGGGTTCGAATACTCTCGCGTACCCTCGTCTGAAGAAAAAGTAAAATCTATCAGGCCAGGTAGAGTAGCTACTGCCTCGCCCAGGAATACCGAGAACACAAATGCGTGATTCACATATGCACTTGACGCGACCCCCTTACCTACCTACCTTCTTGTGGTAGGTAGATAGGTTGTAGTGTAGTGTAGTGTTAGGAAGGTTGTAGTCTCCTCCACAACTACTACCACAATAACTTCTAATATTCTTAGGTTGGTAGGTTGTAGTGTAGTGTAGTGTTAGGAAGGTTGTAGTCTCCTCTATAACTACCACCACAATAACTTCTAATATTCTTAGGTTGGTAGGTTGTAGTGTAGAGTAGTGTTAGGAAGGTTGTAGTCTCCTCCACAACTACTACCACAATAACTTCTAATATTCTTAGGTTGGTAGGTTGTAGTGTAGTGTAGTGTTAGGAAGGTTGTAGTCTCCTCTGCAACTACTACCACAATTACTTCTAATATTCTTAGTGTATTACTATTCATCCTTTTCCTGCTGCTACTTCTACACATTCTATTTCTCATCCTGGTATATTTATTAGGAATTTCTGAACACATTATTTGTCAAATCTGCTGCTATTTCTCTCTTCCTTCTGCTCCTCTTACACCTACAGTTGCAATTGCTGCTCTTCCTCTCCTCTGTCTCCCTCCTCCTCCTCCTCCAAGTGAGGGGGTAGAGGAGGCTCCCAACACACCCTCGCCTGTTAGAAAAGGTCGAGGTACCAAAAATATAGATGAAGATTATTTCCTGAAGCAACATGAACATGGGGGGGGGAGGTTGTAGAAGGGGAAGATGGGACGGGGACAAGAGGGTGATGGGTGGCTTGTGGTGCGGGAGAGGGAGAAAGATGGTGGGGAGAGAGAGGGAGAGAGGGAGAGGGGGCGTAAATCAAGAAGTGCATCACACCTCACGACATAAAGAACCTTTGTGTTCCTGCCGAAAGGTTGTGAGCGCTCGCCTATCTGTACTTGCATATCTTCGTTTGATGGGATCAAACTCCAGCTCCTGAGTCCCTCAACCCCGTGAGCCCTGTCACGTTCACTGTTGAACTAGTGAATGGATGGCACATTCCTCCACCCCTTCCTCTCTTAATACCCTTCTCTATCCCTCTATCCTCACCGTACCTCATCCCTCAGACGTTCAGCTTCCACATGCCGGTGACACTTCTACCAGGCAGCCTGTTCTTGTCCATCTTATGGATAACTTTCAACATCTTGCAAGTTGCACTCCTTTGGTGCAACAATTCCATGCCTGGCCTTCATGGTTCAACCACTCCATGAATGGCCTCTCTGACAGAGCCACTCCGTGCATACCTAGAACATACATGGAGAGAGTTTCAGGAGTTCTTCTGACTAGGCTCGACTTGTGATGACTTGGTCCAACAGGCTGTTGCTTGGAGGAGCCCACAGGACGATGAATGAATGGCACTCATGGGGCCATGAAAGCCCTCTCTGGCAGAGCCACCCCCCATTCCTACCCCCTGTGGCTAGGCTCATCCATCCCTCTTTCCACAAAACAAAACTATTACACCTATCTCGTTCATTCCCCTTAACCATCTTTCTCCCCTCTACAGCACCTCAGTGTTCTTCCTGCCTTCTCTAACCTCTCCCTCTCGTCTTCAATCGTTTCTTCAAAATCCTCTAACAAGCTCCTTTTCATTTTGTTTTTCTTGTTCAATCTCCATTCTCCCAAGCATCCCAATATTCGCCTCTTCCGCCCCCTCTCTCTCTCTCTCTCTCTCTCTCTCTCTCTCTCTCTCTCTCTCTCTCTCTCTCTCTCTCTCTCTCTCTCTCTCACCCCTCACCCACCTCTCCCTCACCCCCAAGGGCAATGTGGGAGAGAGTAAGATACTTAATCCTTGAGATGAGGGAGTTGTCGGAGAAGATGTTCTTCACAGCTACTCCACGTCATCACAGTCTTGGTAAATATGCTGTGTATGTTAGACTCTCGCGGGTATACTCTACAGGTTGGTCGCGTATGCTATCAAAATTGAAATAATATTTTTCCTCTAAATTGAACTTTATTTGTAGTTAAACTCAATCGTGATATTACAGCGTTTAGGTGGGTCATGACTCTGATGGTGCTCCGGTATATTCGCGATCATACTCGCTGTATATTTTGTGTAATGTTATACTGGCTGGTTATACGGCCGGTTATACTCGCCAGACTGGCATACAACCCGGTTATTATCTCTCGAGTATCTGTCCAGCGTATTCCAGTAATAACCCCTTACCCTAAACTATACTCTACACTTACTATACTTAAATATACACGTGTGTGTGTTTACAGGCTTCAGTTTTGTTGGTTTACAAACAAAGGGTTATTAGGAAACGCGCGCGTGCGTATACACACCTCGCAGCTGAGTGGACAGCGCTTTGGGGCCGCGGGCCCGGGTTCGATCCCCGGCAGAGGCGGAAACAAATGGGCAGAATTTCGTTCACCCTGATGCGTCTGTTCACCTAGCAGTAAATAGGTACCTGAGAGCTAGATAGCAGCTACGGGTTGGTTCCCGAGGATGTGTGTGCGTGTGTTAGAGAGAAATATATGTAGTAGACATAATAGAGGTAAAATAAATTGGTTAGAAAGGCCGGGGTCCTTTCTAACCTAAGAGCTAAATAGCTCGATTCTGCAGATACAAATAGTAAATACACACACACGTGCAAACACAAAAGCCTAAATAGTGCTTCATATCACGCACACTATGTACACAAACTCTGAAGAAATATTACTCACCAGACTGTAACCGGCCGCGCCCTCTACCTCCCCCCCGCCTCACCCACCCATCTCTATCTATCTCCCCTCTCTTTCACCTATCCCCTTCTACCATCCTCTCCTTCCCTTATTCCCCTCTGCCCTCCTCTCTCAGAAAATTTATTATTACATAGCACGTGAAAACTGCTCAAAATTCTACGAAAAACAAATCCTCAATTTCAGACTGCATGAAAAACCCGGGGGGTCGCTATAAATGCCGATATTTCTTAAAGAGTGGCAATGGGGCCAGTTTCGACAGGCCTATAACAGACCTATATCTCTCATGTGTCATCCTGCAAAGCCTGGGTGGGGCTAGCCACAAGCTTCTGGCTGCCGACTTTGGAGAGTCAGAAAGATATTCTAGTTCAGAGATACAGATCATTGTGAAATAGAAACAATTAAAAGCATTACTGATCTAATTGGCGGAGACTGATGAGTTCTACAGTCTATCATCAACACCAAGAGTTTGAATTCCTCGTTCAATTGCAGCCTGTAGTGTGAACACCTGCAGCCTGTAGTGTGAACACTTGCAGGCTGTAGTGTGAACACTTGCGGGGAACTGGGAACAGCTTGTACCCAGTACCTAACTGCACTCCCTTGCACTTATCTGGGTTGATCTCCAGTAGCTACTTGACCGTTCTTTAATTCCGTGCAGGTCATCTTGTAGCTTCTAGCAGTGAACAAATCCACAAGGGCCGTGATGAGGGTTCGAACCTGCGCACGGGATGTTCCCCAGATGCGCCATGACCACGACATGGCCAAGTGGTCTTCTAGCAGTCCTCTAACGTAATAATAATCTTCATAATGTCTGCATCATCAGTGAGCATTCTGAGGAAGGAGTCTGTCATCTTCGTCCTTCGGGAAGATCATTCCCCACTCCCTCGTCCCCTCGCCCTCCCTACCATTCCCCACTCCCCCGTCCCCTCGTCCTCCCCACCATTCCCCACTCCCCCGTCCCCTCGTCCTCCCTACTGATTGGCTTAAGTAGATGAGGGACGGACTTCCGTCCTGTGAGAGAGAGATCCTAGAATGAGAGAGAGGGGAAAGGCGGTACTTTGTGTAGAGGGGTCAGGGGTGTGAGGGGAGGTTATCACAGGGGTGCAGGGGGGAGAGGGGTACTACAGCCAGGCCCTGATAAGGAAGGGGGGGTGCATAGTGGCGAGGGATGATGGTCAGTATACGAAGGGTGATTGAGAGGGTATGTGGGCCTGCGGGCCGCTCCAAGCAACAGCCTGGTGGACCAAACTCTCACAAGTCAAGCCTGGCCTCGGCCGGGCTTGGGGAGTAGAAGAACTCCCAGAACCCCATCAACCAGGTGTCAACCAGGAGACAGACAAAGGGGGAAGTGGATCACACAGAGCAACCTTCACCATCTACCCCCTCACCATCACTGGACAGCGAGGGATGGTGTCCCTCCACCATCACCAGGGACTATCAGTCATAGAGTGATCATGTCTCCCACCACACCATATTCCCCCCCTTCCTTTTCCGCCCATCCCTTCCCGTATCATTTACCCTTCCCCCCCTCTCCCGTGGACCCATACCTCCACCCCCAACCCCCCCTTCCCATCCCAAGTCCCCCAAAGCTTGAAATAACACGCGAAGCCAAGTTACAGAACTAATTACAGAAGCGAAAGCTTATGTTTACATTCATAAGCTGCTGTATTCTATTTAATTTCACGATATATATTATTTTCCTGCATAGTCATGCTGACTCCAGGGACCACGGACCTAAGGACTCCAGGGACCACGGACCTAAGGACTCCAGGGACCACGGACCTAAGGACTCCAGGGACCACGGACCTAAGGACTCCAGGGACCACGGACCTGAGGACTCCAGGGACCACGGACCTAAGGACTCCAGGGACCACGGACCTAAGGACTCCAGGGACCACGGACCTAAGGACTCCAGGGACCACGGACCTAAGGACTCCAGGGACCACGGACCTAAGGACTCCAGGGACCACGGACCTGAGGACTCCAGGGACCACGGACCTAAGGACTCCAGGGACCACGGACCTAAGGACTCCAGGGACCACGGACCTAAGGACTCCAGGGACCACGGACCTAAGGACTCCAGGGACCACGGACCTAAGGACTCCAGGGACCACGGACCTAAGGACTCCAGGGACCACGGACCTAAGGACTCCAGGGACCACGGACCTAAGGACTCCAGGGACCACGGACCTAAGGACTCCGGGGACCACGGACCTAAGGACTCCAGGGACCACGGACCTAAGGACTCCAGGGACCACGGACCTAAGGACTCCAGGGACCACGGACCTAAGGACTCCAGGGACCACGGACCTAAGGACTCCAGGGACCACGGACCTAAGGACTCCAGGGACCACGTAGCTAAGGACTCTACCCACAAAGACTATTTTTGCTCGACTATTTACGCTGGTAATGAGTTAACTATCTGAAGTAACCAATGATAGGGCAGTTGGCAATAAATTGTAGATAATATACCATCAGGATTAAAGTATTTGGATATATTGGTCGTACAATTGTAAGAACGATTGCATTCCTATTCCTCACATTTAAGGAGCTATGGTAGTTATGTAGGTGGTGAGAGTAGTTGAGGAGTGTGTAGTTGTTGACAGGCTTGACAGCAGGGCTTCCACTACTTCAGTAATGATACGTCGAGCACAACGTGAGTCCAACGTGAGCCCAACGTGAGCCCAACGTGAGCCCAACGTGACTAATCGTGACGAATATACCGTCATAGGCTTGTCTTGCATCGCTGCCAATGGTAGGGTTATCTTGCATGACTTACATGGTGAGCCTATCTTGCATGCTAGGCCTATCTTGCATTTTTGCATGGTAGGCCCATGTTGCATCTCTTGCCTGGTAGGCCTGGGCCAGAGAACATATCTTTTCAGCAGGGTGATGAAGGTTGGTGGTGAGGTCAGAGCAGTCTCCCCTGCTCAGCCTGGCCTCCCAAACGTACAAATTACAAAGTGTTATGAAATGCTACGACACACACAAATATCATGTTTTCTATGCATATGTAAGTTAGGTTTGGCGGGTTGCTTGGGTTCGTATGTATGTGCGATTAGGTTAGTAATTTGTATTGTGTACGTTTGACGACAACAGGGTGAGTGGCCAGTGTGTTTGTGGGGAGAGGAAAGGAAGGAGGAAGAGATAAATGGCGTGAAAAAGGAAGGAAGGAGTTTGAAGAGGGCAGGAGCAGAGAAAGGAGTGTAGAAAATGCAGGGAGCAGAGGCAGGGTGATAATGCTGGCGCTTAACAGAACAGGAGAGGGACCCCAGGCCGCCACTCTGATGAAGAATGGTAATTGGCATTTACACAAAGTCCCGTACTGAACCAACGAGAGAGAGAGAGAGAGAGAGAGAGAGAGAGAGAGAGAGAGAGAGAGAGAGAGAGAGAGAGAGAGAGAGAGGAGAGGAGAGAGAGAGAGAGAGAGAGAGAGAGAGAGAGAGAGACACACACACACACACACACACACACACACACACACACACACAGGGGACCCTGACCAACCAAAGCAGCAGCCTTAAACCTACACACAGACACAACAACTCCACAAAGTTCCACAGTCACGTAACCCAAGAGGTGCACTTGGAGCTTAACATCGGCACTCCGTCACACACGGAAGCCAGCAAGATGGTGCAAGGAAGACAATAACGAAGGTGTTAAGGAAGAGGAACAAAGTAATCAAGAACATATATTGAAACAAAACACTTCACACTATATAATATATAATATAAACACAATATATATATATATATATATATATATATATATATATATATATATATATATACATACATATATATATATATATATATATATATATATTATATATATATATATATATTATATATATATATATATAAGCGCGTACACACACACACACACACACACACACACACACACACACACACACACACACACACACGTAAACTTGGAACACTTCCCAAGTTTATAAAGATAAATAAGCAAGTTAAGAGGCGAGATACAAGTAACACGATAAAACAAGTCTAAATAGGTACATTCGAGGCATTTACTAGAGGGGGGAAGGAACCCAACACTAAGCGAGCAGCTTCAAATAAAAAAAATCTCATATTTAGAAGACGGCAAAGTGTTTTTAAACTTATTTCCAAAGGTGAGGACTGTGAGGTTAAGAGCCTATTACCGCGAGGGGGGAGAAAATGGAGAGACCATGCCAGTGGTGGGAAGACTTTTAATATCAAGATAAACTTTCGCTCTTACCTTCCACGAGAGAGAGAGAGAGAGAGAGAGAGAGAGAGAGAGAGAGAGAGAGAGAGAGAGAGAGAGAGAGAGAGAGAGAGAGAGAGAGAGAGAGAGAGAAAGAGCGAGCCAGCGAGGAGGGGGGATAGGAAGAATCGAGAGAAAGAGAATGTGACCTATAGGGGTGACTACAAAAAACGTGACCTCTAATTACACTAACCACACTATTTAAGACTAAAGAAGACCGTCAATTTGCTCAAAAACAACTTTCTCGTCACCGAAGTAAAACACCTTGAAAGAGACTAATGTCGTGTATACTTTTACATGCTCACTAGGGGTCTGTTAGCCCCTACGATCTCAATATATAGGCAAGACAACACCATCTCTTTGAGGCGCCTGACAATGAAAAACATAAAAAGCTCAATGCTCAGAGAACTCACAATTTCTATACGCAAGTATATATATATATATATATATATATATATATATATATATATATATATATATATATATATATATATATATATATGAGAGAGAGAGAGACAGAGAGAGAGAGAGAGAGAGAGAGAGAGAGAGAGAGAGAGAGAGAGAGAGAGAGAGAGAGAGAGAGAGAGAGAGAGAGAGAGAGAGACAGATAGAAAGAGTTGTACAACAAAATGAAAACTATCGAGTCTTTGACCTTTCAGTCGTTACAAACCAATTTTCTTCGCTAACTACAACACTTCTTATTACAGACGAGATTTCAGCTCTCTTGAGTTTAATAGTTCCCGAATTACCCCACGAGTTGCACGCTCCTTGACAATTACATACAAATTACAGATGACTTTGGATGCATCAAAGTCAGCCCGGGTGCTAGTGCGGCCACTGGGGACTTGGGGCCTTATTAACCCTGCAGTTTTGTGTGGAGTGTGGCGTCCTTGTCACGCATACCTGGAGCGTACCTGCACAAGGTTTCGGGAGTTGTTCTACTCCCCCGAGCCTGGTCTGGGGCCAGGCTCCACGCACTCAAAAAGTGGTTTGAAGTGGGTGATACCTCCGCCACGGACTATCAACTACCCATAGGGACTATGTACATCTCGACTGCTCTCCACTAGGGACTATATAGGGACTCTATCCATTTGGGCTGCTCCTTACTAGGGGGTCTATCTACGCTTCACCAGCTCCACACCTCTGTCAGTAGGTCATAAAGGTCATGTTTCATTAATGATTAAATTGGTGAAGCATAAAGATCAGCTATTGACTAGCAGTAAATTAAGTACCAAACTCACACACACACACACACACACACACACACACACACACACACACACACACACACACACACACACACACACACGATTCGTCTAATTCATGTCATCTTCTTACTGCCCATTTAACGTAATAGACAAGGAAAATTTTTTGAAGTCAGTTTCCTAAACAATTTGAAAATATGACACAAGACATGGAAACAAGGAGTCAGTGTATTAGACGGCCGAGTGCTGCACAGGCGGGGACCAAGAGCTGAACGTCAACACCTCACCAACAGGGGATGAGTGTGTGCGGAATTGACAAAGTAGAAAATGAAGGTACAGTTAAAGAAAACCCGCGAATCGAGGGATGCAAAGATGCAACCTAGGTGAAGAGAGTGGATAGAGCGATGAAGAGAGTGGATAGAGCGATGAAGAGAGTGGATAGAGCGATGAAATTGATGAGCAGCCACGCCAGCAACCTCACCTCCACAACCCCTCATCTCTCTACCTCATCACCACCCATTCCTTCATCCTAAATCCCAACTCTTTCATCCTAAATCCCAACTCCTTCATCCCACCATTCATTCCCACAAGCCCAAGTCCATCTCATGAATTCTTCTCTGTGCCTCATGCCCCTTAGAGGTTACCTTAAGGTTACCTAACCTCATGTTTCCCCTCTTGACAACACCGCCAAGAGGGGAAACATGAAACACCGCCTCACAATACAAAACACAGACAACAGCCCCAAAACAAGGCCTTGAACCAAACAGCAAAAAGCACACTAGACCAGACCACACCGAAGGAAATCAACCCCAGTTCAAGCAACCACGTTCTCTCTGCAATCAGCAATTTCATTCAAGCCAATTATCCTAACTAAGAGCTGGAGTACCGAAGCGCTCTATACCTGAATTAAGGGCTCTATGCAGGTATAAGAGTCAGGTGTGGTGCTCTACCTGCTGCTCTGTAAACCTGAGGCTCACGAAGCTCTATACAAGCCTGGTGGAGTCTTATACACCTGACCTGACCACTGTTCCATATTTAAAACCAGTGACTATATTTAGAACACCCTATGTCCCCACAATATGGGTTCTGAACACCCTGTACCCCCACAATAAGGGTTCTGAACACCCTGTACCACCACAATAAGGGTTCTGAACGCCTTGTACCACCACAATAAGGGTTCTGAACACCCTGTACCACCACAATAAGGGTTCCGAACACCCTGTACCACCACAATAAGGGTTCTGAACACCCTGTACCACCACAATAAGGGTTCTGAACACCCTGTACCACCACAATAAGGGTTCTGAACGCCTTGTACCACCACAATAAGGGTTCTGAACACCCTGTACCACCACAATAAGGGTTCTGAACACCCTGTACCACCGCAATAAGGGTTCTGAACACCCTGTACCACCACAATAAGGGTTCTGAACACCCTGTACCACCACAATAAGGGTTCAGAACACCCTGTACCACCACAATAAGGGTTCCGAACACCCTGTACCACCACAATATGGGTTCCGAACACCCTGTACCACCACAATAAGGGTTCCGAACACCCTGTACCCCCACAATAAGGGTTCTGAACACCCTGTACCCCCACAATAAGGGTTCTGAACACCCTGTACCCCCACAATAAGGGTTCTGAACACCCTGTACCACCACAATAAGGGTTCTGAACACCCTGTACCACCACAATAAGGGTTCTGAACACCCTGTGTACCCAAAATAAGCTTTACACACACTATCACGGGAACTCAGCAAGATTCAATTAGAAAATACATGTTAAAAAATAACTGTCATTATAGAATTGAAAGAATTATGGAATTTATAAAACAAGTTGCCTTTTCAACATTAAAACACTCCATCAAGCCATTACAAATTTCATTATGCAAATCTGTATTTGACGCTGAATGTCAAATCATCTCGATGAAAGCAATGAGCATCCTAATTATTCGTACATTGATTAAAGGAAGCTGAAATTGAAATTTTTGTATGAGAATTGAAGACAGGCCTGGTCGACGACCGGGCCGCGGGGACGCTAAGCCCCGGAAGCACCTCAAGGTAACCTCAAGGTAGGTTCACTGCGCCTCCGGCAGAAATGGCGAAGCCCCTTACACAAGCCCCTTAAACAAGCCCCTTACACAAACCCCTTACACAAGCCCCTTACACAAACCCCTTACACAAGCCCCTTATACAAGCCCCTTACACAAGCCCCTTATACAAGCCCCTTATACAAGCCCCTTATACAAGCCCCTTATACAAGCCCCTTATACAAGCCCCTTATACAAGCCCCTTACACAAGCCCCTTACACAAGCCCCTTATACAAGCCCCTTATACAAGCCCCTTACACAAGCCCCTTATACAAGCCCCTTATACAAGCCCCTTACACAAGCCCCTTATACAAGCCCCTTATACAAGCCCCTTACACAAGCCCCTTATACAAGCCCCTTATACAAGCCCCTTACACAAGCCCCTTACACAAGCTGGTACACACAATAGAAGAGGCATTACCGATATACAGGAGAAGGGAAGTGATGAGGACACACACACACAGATATGATAGAGCCCAATAGGCTCAGGAATCTGTTCACCTGTTGATTGACGGTTGAGAGACGGGACCAAAGAGCCAGAGCTCAACCCCCGCAAACACAACTAGGTGAGTACACACACACACACACACACACACACACACACACACACACACACACACACACACACACACACACACACACACACACACACACACGTGAAAGCAAATCAACCGACCATACGACAATTCAGACACACAGTTTCCTCCAGCATCAACCCGTACCTTAACATAAATTGCGGGCTCACCATAGCCCGTGCTACCTGGAACTTTGTTCCAGGTAGCGAATCTTTAACAACAACATTAACATAAACATAACATACAAGTTAACAGTTATGGCACTAATAAACCCATCAAACAGCTCAGTTTCTAGGGGGCCAACAGGCTGCAGATGAGTTGTAGATAACAGCTCTCTAGAGCTGTAGATAACAGCTCTCTAGAGCTGTAGATAACAGCTCTCTTGAGCTGTAGATAACAGCTCTCTAGAGCTGTAGATAACAGATCTCTTACATTGCACCTTCGTGAGAAACATCAGTACCATTTGTCATGCACAGCAGCTGACGGAGAGAGAGAGTAGCTGAGGTTGAGTCTGCAGCATGCGCAACACTGCAGCATGCGCAACACTGCACTCATCTCTGGCAGGAAGCTTGAAATTAGTCCACAAAGAGAAGGTGAAAACAAAGGAATGATATCTTGGAGAGTATAAGGACTTGCCACGCCCTCTAATACAACGCCCTCTAATACAACACCCTCTAATACAACGCCCTCTAATACAACACCCTCTAATACAACGCCCTCTAATACAACGCCCTCTAATACAACGCCCTCTAATACAACGCCCTCTAATACAACGCCCTCTAATACAACGCCCTCTAATACAACGCCCTCTAATACAACGCCCTCAAATACAACGCCCTCAAATACAACGCCCTCTAATACAACGCCCTCTAATACAACACCCTCTAATACAACACCCTCTAATACAACGCCCTCAAATACAACGCCCTCAAATACAACGCCCTCTAATACAACACCCTCTAATACAACACCCTCTAATACAACACCCTCTAATACAACGCCCTCTAATACAACACCCTCTAATACAACACCCTCTAATACAACGCCCTCTAATACAACACCCTCAAATACAACGCCCTCTAATACAACGCCCTCTAATACAACGCCCTCAAATACAACGCCCTCTAATACAACACCCTCTAATACAACACCCTCTAATACAACACCCTCTAATACAACGCCCTCTAATACAACACCCTCTAATACAACACCCTCTAATACAACGCCCTCTAATACAACACCCTCTAATACAACGCCCTCTAATACAACGCCCTCAAATACAACGCCCTCTAATACAACGCCCTCTAATACAACGCCCTCAAATACAACGCCCTCTAATACAACGCCCTCTAATACAGCGTCACGGTATACAACTTCTTGTAATACACAGGAGTGTGTAACACATACAGAGCAATGTACTTCAACACGGCCTGCTTCAGGCAGGAGTGTATTTAATACAGTTTGATATGGGAGTGTACTTAATAACAGACTGGTACACCCAGGAGTGTACTTAATAACAGACTGGTACACCCAGGAGTGTACTTAATAACAGACTGGTACACCCAGGAGTGTACTTAATAACAGACTGGTACACCCAGGAGTGTACTTAATAACAGACTGGTACACCCAGGAGTGTACTTAATAACAGACTGGTACACCCAGGAGTGTACTTAATAACAGACTGGTACACCCAGGAGTGTACTTAATAACAGACTGGTACACCCAGGAGTGTACTTAATAACAGACTGGTACACCCAGGAGTGTACTTAATAACAGACTGGTACACCCAGGAGTGTACTTAATAACAGACTGGTACACCCAGGAGTGTACTTAATAACAGACTGGTACACCCAGGAGTGTACTTAACAGACTGGTACACCCAGGAGTGTACTTAATAACAGACTGGTACACCCAGGAGTGTACTTAATAACAGACTGGTACACCCAGGAGTGTACTTAACAGACTGGTACACCCAGGAGTGTACTTAATAACAGACTGGTACACCCAGGAGTGTACTTAACAGACTGGTACACCCAGGAGTGTACTTAACAGATTGGTACACCCAGGAGTGCACTTAACAGACTGGTACACCCAGGAGTGTACTTAACAGATTGGTACGCCCAGGAGTGCACTTAACAGACTGGTACACCCAGGAGTGTACTTAACAGACTGGTACACCCAGGAGTGTACTTAACACAGACTGGTACACCCAGGAGTGTACTTAACAGACTGGTACACCCAGGAGTGTACTTAACAGACTGGTACACCCAGGAGTGTACTTAACAGACTGGTACACCCAGGAGTGTACTTAACAGACTGGTACACCCAGGAGTGCACTTAAAAACTGGTACACCCAGGAGTGCACTTAACAAGACTGGTACACCCAGGAGTACACTTAACAGACTGGTACACCCAGGAGTGTACTTAACAGACTGGTACACCCAGGAGTGTACTTAACAAGACTGGTACACCCAGGAGTACACTTAACAGACTGGTACACCCAGGAGTGTACTTAACAGACTGGTACACCCAGGAGTACACTTAACAGACTGGTACACCCAGGAGTGTACTTAACAGACTGGTACACCCAGGAGTACACTTAACAGACTGGTACACCCAGGAGTACACTTAACAGACTGGTACACCCAGGAGTGTACTTAACACAGACTGGTACACCCAGGAGTGCACTTAACAGACTGGTACACCCAGGAGTGTACTTAACAGACTGGTACACCCAGGAGTGTACTTAACAGACTGGTACACCCAGGAGTGTACTTAACAGACTGGTACACCCAGGAGTGTACTCATCAGTGGTTACAGACGGGTCAGCTGCTGCTGCTGCTGCCCACTTCCGCCACTTGTCAATAGATGTCACCACTGGACATGACTCCATTAAGTAAGTCAGCATTGTCTCGTTCAATGCATATTTCTCCCTTCAACTATTCAGTGATGAAAGTCATGCCCAGTCGAATTATATGTAAAAATAATAATTCCATGCTAATATTGCAAGTGGCACCTTATAAGAGGCACTCATCTTGCAAGTGGCACTCATCTTGCAAGTGGCACTCATCGTGTAAGTGGCACCTTACATGGGGCACTCATCTTGATAGTGGCACCTTATAAGAGGCACTCATCTTGCAAGTGGCACCTTACATGTGGCACTCATCTTGCAAGTGGCACCTTATAAGAGGCACTCATCTTGCAAGTGGCACTCATCTTGCAAGTGGCACTCATCTTGAAAGTGGCACCTTACATGTGGCACTCATCTTGAAAGTGGCACCTTACATGTGGCACTCATCTTGCAAGTGGCACCTTATAAGAGGCACTCATCTTGCAAGTGGCACCTTACATGGGGCACTCATCTTGCATGTGGCACCTTACATGGGGCACTCATCTTGCAAGTGGCACCTTATAAGAGGCACTCATCTTGCAAGTGGCACTCATCTTGCAAGTGGCACCTTACATGTGGCACTCATCTTGAAAGTGGCACCTTACATGTGGCACTCATCTTGCATGTGGCACCTTACATGGGGCACTCATCTTGAAAGTGGCACCTTACATGGGGCACTCATCTTGCAAGTGGCACTCATCTTGCAAGTGGCACTCATCTTGTAAATAGCACCTTACATGTGGCACTCATCTTGAAAGTGGCACCTTGCAAGTGGCACTCATCTTGCCAGCGACACCTTAACAGTGGCACTCTACTCACAATATTAAACTAAGCGATGCTTTAACTGTTCCAACCAACTGTGACACTCCAAACCAAAACCAGTTTTCAGCATTAAATGAAAACATTTCAAGTAACAAAAGCATCAAAGCATAATTTCTACAACAGTAAAAAAAAAAATCTCAATGTATATAAATGTCAAAATCCTATCAACAGGCCTATTGCATCCTGCTCTTAACAGCCACTGCTGAACAACGCTATCGCTGGCCCCTAGCGTTGTAAGTGGCACTAGTTGGCGCTAAGTTAGACTGGAACATATCGGAGTATACGCGGTGGGTATTGATTCTGGGCAGAGCCATCTGTCATATCACCACCTGCTCCTGGGGTGTGGGAGCAGAGCGCATAACTGAGGCACAGTTTGGCTCAAGTCAACAGGTTATATCAGTGCCTGAAACTATATAATATGTGCTGGAATAAATACGATTGTATCTACTCTTATCAAGATAAGTATAAGTATAGATGCCACCCCTGTCCCAGGAAGGATAGAGAGATTAAACCATTAGAAACAAACAGACTAAAATGACAGTTTTAACAACCTCCCCCTAAAAATATCACAATCACAGAGAGAACAACGTTCCACAACTGATACTCGAATGACCAGTGAATCACAACATCAATTATAACAATATTACAACACCTGATTCCAACACCCCACAACTACCCAAATGGTTAAAAAGAAGAGTGTCATCAACTACCATTAGGGCCATATTTCAGGGCCCCCAACAGACCACAGGAGCCCCTGAAGCTTCAGGAGGGCCACCACACGAGGCCCTGGCACTCTACAACACGCCAACTGGCATAGAGAAGACCAATACCACTTTATGGCTCTCAATAGCACCCAACACCGTTATCCAATCCAATCCAATTTACCCAGGTGACTTTGGTGAGAGTAAGGGTAGTATATATCCCCCGCTGCTCTTAGTTGCAAGGCAAACGTTGCCTTTATGTCGATGAGGGAGCTTACCTAAAAGGTAAGCTTTATCTTAGAGGGAGCTTACCTAAAAGAAAAAAAAGTCTTGGTAAAAACATTTTATCCTCGATGCAACTAATGCAAAGGCTGAAGGAACACACTTAGGCCTAGTTTCTGTGTCGGCTGAAAGAGTGCCTGCACTCGAGTGACGATGCACTGCCTGCAGTGCTATTGCAATATATATAACTCGAACCATCTAGGCTCTGGACCCCATCGTCACAGAGTGAGACATGTTCCCCTCTGTGTATCTACCAACCACTTTAAAGTTGAAACAAGCCAAGGAGGAATATTGTTCCACGGAAACTACCACGTGTGAGGTGTTGACTGGTTGTAAATACTGATGTTGGAGTAGTTCTTTATGTTATTGTTGTAGTTGTCTAAATGTCAAACACAGAGATACACACACATACAAATCTTTAGTTGTTACAAATGAAGTTGTTTAAAAATCAATCTCTCTCTCTGTCTCTCTCTCTTGTCTCTTTCTCTCTGTCTCTGTCTGTCTCTCTCTCTCTCTCTCTCTCTCTCTCTCTCTCTCTCTCTCTCTCTCTCTCTCTCTCTCTCTCTCTCTCTCTCACACACACACACATACACTCACCTTGTATGTCACTGTTGGTGACGCCCCTCGTCACTGTTAATATTTCAACCATTGCAGTGTCCCCTCCTTTCCCCCCCTTTTCCATTTTTTCCTGCTGATTGTATTTGCTGTCACTGGCTGGCCCAGCTGTTCGCCTTTTATGCAACGCATTGTGTCCTGGTCTCACTAGACCCGCTACTGCTGCACTCGACCTTGCTGTTGCTACTCTTTTTCCTGTAATTGTCACAGTTCCTGTGTTATCTGTAGTTACTATCTTGCCCATGTGTTAAGGAAGACGGAGTAAGTTTACCCATGGTTGTAAAGCTGTTAGTTTACCTATGGTTGTAAAACAGTTAGTTTACCCATGGTTGTAAAGCTGTTTACCCATGGTTGTAAAGCAGTTTTTACCCATGGATGTAAAGCAGTTTTTACCCATGGTTGTAGAGCAGTTTTTACACATGATCACTACCTACAAAATTCTCAGAGGAATTGACAGGGTAGATAAAGATAAACTGTTTTAACCCGGGTGGAACACGAACAAGGGGACACAGGTGGAAACCGAGTACCCACATGAGCCACAGGGGCGTTAGGAAGAACTTTTTCAGTGTCAGAGTAGTTGACAGATGGGAAGCATTAGATAGTGATGTGGTGGAGGCTGACTCCATACACAGTTAGATATGATAGAGCCCAGTAGACTTAGGAATCTGTACACCAGTTGATTGACAGTTGAGAGGCGGGACCAAAGAGCCAGAGCTCAACTAGATGAGTACACACACACCTTCCCTCAGCCGTTCACAAGTTACTCAGCATAGCAGCACACACTCGACTCCAGGCAGTTATTAGGAATTATTATTAGTTAGTAGCTAATTGGGCAATCAAGAAGCGTGGCCCACGAGTGATTACCATGCGAGTTTCTGCGACGTTCACAGGGTCTAATCCACTACCATCAGCATCTGAGAAATTGTCGAGAAATCTCAAAGCGAACTAAGCACCCCCCTCCCCCCCTTCTTCCTCTCTACAAAATATTCTCATCCCTACAGTTTATGCACCAGTCTTTCATTTTTTTCATTATTTCTTCTACATTTTTATCCTTGCCTTCGTGGAGATAAATAAATGCCTCTATGCATACACTCTTCCCCCCCCCCCTCTCTCTCTCTCTCTCTCTCTCTCTCTCTCTCTCTCTCTCTCTCTCTC